TACTCTTCATTTTCATTTTGAAATTATTAATTGAATCGTAAATATCGGTATTTCTTCTTCTGAAATTTGGATATAAAATTTCAAGGTGAAAATGAAGAGTTGCCTTATCACAAATCATATTAGGTTAAAGTATAGGCAATAGCGACCATTTTGATACTTGATAAATCAAGAAAGGTTTAGTACAAGCTGTGATGTGAATTTTTGAAATAGTCCACTTTTTAACGTTTTCAAACCTTACTACCCAAAAAGAAGCTAAAATATAAAACTGATATATTTTTGATCAGTTAATATATTTAATTAATCTCAAAGCGACTTTTTTTAACTTTACAAGTATTTAAGTTATGACAAATTACCTGTCATTCGGACAAAAAAAGTTATTTAGGTTCTTCTTTCCCAATAGTATAATAAATCCATTCCACTTCAGGACGTTTAGTGACTTTTTTATGCATCTTTTTAAGGGTACACCCCTCGCATATATGATTTATTCTCATCCTATTATAATTAATATCGAAAAATCGTATCGAAACTTTCGAAGTAACAATAGCGGTTCAGAAGGGTTGATCTTTAATACTAAATGCAAATTTGTGATCCTTCGGACTGTCCAGGGCAGTCCGGATTCAAATCACAATGTTAATCTTATTCTACTACATATTATGTAAATTAATTAGACCAAGGCAATTCTAGTACATGGATTGTATAAACCCTTTGTGTTTGGTTTATCTTCATGTTCAATTAATTCTCAAAATACAGGCATTGAAAGTTCACAATTGGGTGCATAATAGTAATTACTATTTTAATAGCCAAATTGATGTAACAATATCCTGACATTAATTACATCAATAATAATCAGAAATTTTAAATAATTAATAACAATGAAATATTTTGACATTTAATAGGGGTTAATATTAAATACCAATGTGAAAATTCATTTTAACTTTTTCCTACTATAAACTACCTCAGGATAATGAAGGAAAATTGTTGCTGTCGTCACACCCCCGCCGGGAATCGAACCTGGGACTTTTGCTTTTACGCACCAATGCTATGACCAGTAAGCTTAGTGTTCGGTTCGAGTTCGATTCCAGGCGAGGACGTGACAATAGCAACAATTTTCCCTCATTAACCTGACGTAGTTTATCGCGAGAAAAAAATTAAAATGAATTTTCACATTGGTAATTAATAACAAAACAAGGACCTCCCAAATTTTAATTTAATTTAGTGTTAAAAATACATCGATTGAACATGAATTGTGACTGAGAAATGCCATTGATATATGTGCATATAAATCAATTTTAGGTAATACTTGGAATACTATAAACTGCTCCTCTATTGAAAGTTCTGCAACTAATATAGCAAATAACACAAAAACTCCGGTGGAAGAATTTTTTGAGTAAGTACCCAACGTACCAAATTAGTTTACCACTAATTAAGATGCTACTTTCGATTTACAGCCGTAATGTACTTGGTATAACGGGAGGAATTGAGGATGTTGGAGGTATACAGTGGAAGCTACTAGTTTGCCTAATTTTTGGATGGACTTTTATCTATATTGTTATAAGAAACGGTTTACATCAAAGTGGAAAGGTAGATTCATACTCACATAAAAGTAGACGTTAATCATTACAGATTTTTTTTTCTTGAGAATGATTTAATAACATTCGCAGTCGAAAAATACATATAGTAATATTATTGAAAGATTGCGTATGAATCAGTTATTCAACGACATATGGCATACATCTTTCGTGGTGGGTAGTATACATAAAATGAAGTAGATGCTAATACGTTGAGAAAAAGTATTTGCTTGGACCTACTTGGTTTTACATACACATAAGTACTCACTACATTTCAAAGCAAATATTTCGTCAGCAAGATAAATGCTACACTAAGGTAGCTACTACAGAGGGCTATACAGGTAGTGTTGTACGTATAATTACTCCCAATACTGTACACTGATGCATATTCACGACCATACAACTTTCAGCTTAGATATACGGCCTCCTCATCATAATAAGCATAAGACTGCTTGGACACGCACTTCTACTCTTTTCTATCATGAGCTAATCTTCGCATTTCCACAAAACTAGAACATCCCACATCCTTAACTATTTGTGAACAGTAATCTAATCTAGGTCTACCTCCTCTACTACTTTTAGCTCCAGTTTCTGCTTCTAATATGCCTGTGACTAGCCCTTCATGCCTGGGAAGGTGTCCTACCAACCTATCCCGCCTATATCTTATTGACTACCATTGAGTCCTCTATTCTTCTATCCTTTCTAATATCTCTTCATTTGTAATATTCTCTATCCACGGTATCCTCATCATTCGCTTGTAACACCACATTTCTTTTAGATCCTCCTTGTTTTTCTTTTGCCTTCATTTCTTCCTTTTTTACGGTCTTTATGAATTCGTAGTGTACTAACGTTGTAGCATCTTTTCTCTCTTATTATAAATAATTTTCAAAGATTTCCATTTCTCTTCACCATCTGTAGAACTTGTTCATTTGTCTTCTTATCCGTCCAGCAAATCCTTTCCATTCGCCTTCAACAGCACATTTCAAAGGCTGCCAGCCATTCTCTATCACGATGTGCCAACTCCTGTTTCTGCTTCTAATATGTCTCTGACTAGACCTTCATGCCTGAGAAGGCGTCCTACCAACCTATCCCGCCTATATCTTATTGACTACCATTGAGTCCTCTATTGTTCTATCCTTTCTAATATCTCTTCATTAGTTATCTTCTCTATCCACGGTATCCTCATCATTCGCTTGTAACACTACATTTCTCCTAGACCTTCTTTGTTTTCCTTTTGTCTTCATTTCTTCCTTCTTTTATAGCCTTTATGAATTCGTCGTGTACTAATGCTGTAGCATTTTTTCTCCCTTATTATAAGTAATTTTCAAAGATTTCTCTTTTTCTTCAGCATCTGTTGAACTTCTTCATTTGTCTTCTTATCCGTCCAGCAAATCCTTCCCATTCGCCTTCAACAGCACATTTAAAAGGCTGTTAGCCATTCTCTATCACGATGTGTCATCGTCCATGTTTTTCCAACTTTTGCTGGCGTTCTTAATGCTTATACAGCACCTACATTAAGTAACCTTATGTAGCTTCTGTCATATCTTCAGTCTTCAGCAAATTTCTGAGTGCAACATAATATTAGTAACGCTCTTACGGCTGGCGTCGTATATTAAACAACCCTGTGTGGTTTCCATTCCTAACTAGTCTTTTTAGTCATACTAATAAAATCATTTGATGTCTATGGGACACTAATGCTCCCTATTTGGAATAACTTTTATTTACATATACAGAGTTAGCGCTCTTTGTGCAGTCTTCATAATCTACAACCCTTCATGGTAGCAAACATTGTATTTTCTACTATACAAATTGTCATTACTTTTTAGATTGGTTGATGACATAAGCGCAATCTTTCAGTAATTTTATAATGTCTACCTGCGAGTATTGTTAAGTCATTGTGGATTATGTGCCTATAAGAAACTTCATTTTTATTTATAAGAATTGCTCTTTATAATTTATAAATCTTTAAAGATAATTTGGTTTACGGCACTTTTCCCATATGTCGTACTTTTTATACTTTTAATACGTGCGATTACGTTGGATGGAGCTATGGATGGCATGTATCATTTTATTATTCCACGTTGGGAAGAATTACTTAAGCCTGAACCATGGTTAGAAGGTGCTACCCAGATTTTCTTCGCTTATAACATTGGTTGTGCCGCTCTACCCGTTCTTGGTTCATATAATAGTTTTCATCATAACTTTTACAAGTAAGGAAACAATTTATTAGACTATACTTGCAAAAATATAAAAAAAGAAATACCATTAAATGATTCGGAAAAGGCTTAGAGAAATACTCGACCAAAACTGAGGAGTTAACAGGTGAAGAACGGTAATTCGAATCAATAAAACATTTTTGAATTGAAAACAGATAATAGTTTATTTTCATCCTCTTCTTAGCTTTCTGCTCGATATTTTTGAGTTCTCCTCAGAGATAATCAAATATGAAATATAAGGTTCATGGAAGAATCTAGATTTCCGGATTCTAACCGTGTCTTCTTGATGACGGATCACGGTGACGTCAAAAGTGCTCGAAGTTTCGTCTCTTACCACGAGGATATCTTCAGGAATATCATGTTGTCGATGCAAGATCTCCAACGCTGGTGTTGAACTAACCAAGAATCATCTGACAGTGGCTTATATAGTTGTTCCATCGTCACGTATTCTTCAATAACCATTTCCAAGCTGCGTCCAGGTGATACTCATCGTCGTTGTTGGGATTATTCGCGTGTTTGAGTATCTCCAGTGCTTCCTTGATAACCCTGGGGAAGCTGTGGCTATCACTGTAGCTCCTTTGTCTCGAGCATGTTCTGCTAACGACAACTTGCTGCATTGTTTCGGTCGAACGGATCTCTCATGTTCTTTAGTCCTTGTTGCGATGGATCTATCTGTTTCCTCGGTGTATTCCTTTCCACAGGAGCACGGTATCCGGTAGACGCCCTCAGATTCCAGTGGAACAACATTTTGCACACATGCAAGCTGGTCTCTAAGTTTACTAAACGTGTCAAAGATTACCTTGACGCCTTCCCTCTGCAGAATTCGACCGATTTTGTCCGTTACTCCTTTGGCGAATAACAGAGATGCTGTGTGGACTTCTTCAGCGGCCTTGAGTGCCGGTCTGCGAGATTTTTGATATTTCTATATTGTGCAATTCACATCACGCCTCCGAATTCATTAGAGATAAGTATGACAGTGATGAAACGAAGAAGAAAGAATAAGTTTGCGAAAAGGTACATTTTTCAAACATGCACAAATCTTTATCATAACAAAATATAAAAGAATCACCAATATTTGGTCAAATAATGACCTAAGAAACATGTTGAATATTAAATATGTTTTTCTTTATCTTTCTGTGTGAAAGACTTGTGCATGCTTAAAAAAATGCGCTGATTGTACCCAACATTTGACAATTCTTTAATTCTGAGGAGAGCTCCAAAATATCGAGCTGAAGGGGACTACCATAAACAATTAACCATCTTCTACTCAAAAATTTCTTTATTGACTCGAATATCATTCTTCATCTGTTAATTTAACTTCACACCGAGTATTCTGCCCTGTAAAACTGAAGAGTTTAAGTTTAAGAGTTAAAAAACATGAACGAATCAGTTCTTATTATGTCAAAGTTTGTTAGCTCAAATCGTGGTAATAATTATTCTGACTCTTGGAGGGGAAAGCACTAATAAAAAATAAAAGATAATGATTTCAGTAACTTTTTTTTTATATTATTTGATTAGGAATACTAAATTGAATAATACTAATCAGGTGATCTACATCACATTATGGTACCGAAAGTAGTTAACTATATTCCTTTATTAGGGGGCCTATTGCAATTTTATCAAATAATTAATTATTTTGTCTTCAGGGACGCATTCATCACATGTATAGTTAACACCCTGACATCAATTGTGGCAGGATGCGTTACTTTCAGTATTCTTGGTTATCTCGCTTTAGAAAAGGGTACGACTGTACCGGAAGTGGTGACAAGTGGACCAGGACTCGTATTCTTAACATACCCGGAAGTTGTATTAAAATTGCCGTGGTCAATGCTTTGGACATTATTGTTCTTCTTTATGCTACTAGTAAGCACATATATTTCGGTCTTTAATGCAAAATATTATTTAAGTGTTTTAATTTCCTTAGGTGTTGGGTTTAGATTGTGGATTTTGTCTAGTGGAGGCCTTTATAGCGGGCATTCTCGACAATTGGTCTGAAACCCTCAGGCCCCACAAAGAAGTTTTTAGAGTTGTAGTTTGCTTTATAATGTTTCTGCTAGGCATTCCAATGATCATGCAGGTACACATTAAATGGTTTTAAAAAACCAATTGGTATAGGATTTACTTTTATTTTAGGGCGGCATGTACGTTTTCCAATTAATGGATTACTATTCTGCCAGTGGTATGTCACTGCTTTGGGTATGTTTCTTTCAAACAGTGGCAATATCGTGGGTTTTTGGAACCAATAGGTTGTCAGACTGCGTCGAGCAGATGTTAGGATTTCGACCAGGAAAGTTTTGGACAATATGCTGGCAGTATTTCGCCCCATTCGTTATGATAGTAAGAAAACTGTAGTTGGTAGAGTTAATATTGTTTCGAATGGGATTATTTTGGTTTCAGATTATTTTCGTTGCTCAGTGTTTTCAGTTCCAACCACTTACGTATGGTGATTCATATGAGTATCCATGGTGGGCAAAGATAATAGGTTTCGGTTTAAGTTTTTCGTCGATGATGTGGATTCCTTTTTACGCGATTTTTTATTTACTAAAAAGACCTGGAACGATTTGGGAGGTAAGTTTTTAATGAATCATTTTTTAATGAAAATATTTGCATTTAGGAAGATACAGTTGTTTTTATTTTAGAATTTAAAGGAAGGACTAAAACCGGACATCAAACTGAGAAGACTTTCAATGCGAACTAAAGATAAAATACTTATTTCGGAAAGTACAGTTGTCGATTTTTAATACAGCATATTCGATTTAATATTATGGCTGTTATTAAATATTTTATACAGTGATAGATATACATATATTTTCATATTACTGAGATATAGTATTGTGTGATACTACATTACTGTTAAGCTTATTAAATTATTTTACTATGTTTCAAAACTAAATAAAAACACATGAATTATGAACTTTCTTTTATTATGCTGCAAACTTGTTAAGGTCCTCTGTAATTAACCTTCAGATTAAAGTTTACAAAATCAAGAGAATATTTCTCAAAAAGGATTAATTTTTTGAACGATTAAAATGTCAATACATATTTTAAGAAATATAAGCATTTGTTTGAAGAGTATGCACTCTTTTTAGAAGTCGTTACAGAATGAGTCCGATATAAAAACGTTTGAGCTGATAGGTAATAGTTTCGATCTAAATGGAGATTCACAAGAGTATCTACTTAAAAAAAACTTTTTGGTGTTTCATTCCCACCAGCCAGTAATGCTGGTGGCGGGCAGTCCCTCCAAACTATGCCGGAAGGTAGGGGGGAAGACCCTCTTCAGCCTCCTTTCAGGAATTGTGGGAATGGGTGGGTGGTGGTTCGGGTGAGAAAGATGAGACGGACGAAATGAAAACAGAAGAGAATGAAAGTTTATATGTGGAATATTACTTTCCCAGGATTTATCCAAGGAAACCACAGAAAAACTTGGATCAAGACAGACGGACCCGGAACCGAATCGGCGTCGTCCCGAATGTTAAGCAATAATCTAAACCTTTAGGCCATGCAACTTTGTGAGTACCTATAGAAAATAGTAAATTTTATACTCCGTATCACGTGAAGTGGAGGTTCAAGCAATAAAACTGTCAAGAAGTGACCACCCTTGTTTACGCATTTCTGGAATTACAATATTACGGCATTATTCAAACGATACACGTTTTGTATCTAGTTAACCACTTGTGCCTTCTCTTTTATCGAAATCAAAACGGAGGTTCTATAACACATTTTGTCAATTCTCAGCTGGACAGACATACTCACTAAGAAGTATTATCCCTTAAAATTGTCACTAAATAAAATTAGGACCGTCCTCTTGATGGGTCCGACGTCAGTCATTCGACGTGGTAAGCTTATAAATCTTTTGAATGTTTTGCTGCCTGAGCCGCCACTTTATGATGATACAGACTTTAGTTACTTTTTTCGTACTGTTGAGAATGATTCATAGGCCAAAACAATTGTCAACTGTTTAATTAACTTAACCAGTTAAAATATTCCTCTTTTATGGTTCTCTTAAGTAAGATGTTTGTCGGGGAATATACCTACATCCACATTTAACTAAACATAATAAAGTATAACATTTATTAATCGAACAAGGTATGAGTTTTCATTGATGCTTATTCAAATTTTAGTCGGATATTATTATTATTTTCTGGTTTTCTTCTGGAACGATTTGGGAAGTAAATTTTTAATGAATCGTTTTTTATTTGTACATATTTTTGGTTAGTTTTTATACTATACAAATATAGCGCGATGAAAAAAAAAACACTAACACAGAATTAGTTTTTTAAGACTTTTAATAAGCACAGGAGAAGTTGAAGAAATTATTTCCAGTACAATGTAACAGGAACAATAGCGAAGACAATAATGATGATAACAATGTATACGAAAACTTACTAAGTAGCTGAAGGAAAATAACTAGCAGAACCCAATTTTGAAATCGAAAGTATGGGTACTTATTATTAAAGATTGACAAGGAGAAGGGTAGTTTAGAAGAAAGACAGAAAGTACAGATACTGACGGTAAAAGTTCTCAGAACTAAATAGAATGGAATGTTTTTGCGGGAGAAACCAGATTGTTAGTAAATACAAGTCAGGGTGCATGCAGGTATAGGGGTTCCATGTGATGAAGCATGCTCAAGCGTTGGAAGTTAAAATTGAAAGTAAAGATACAGAAAGAACATAAATTTTAGAAAACAAATTCAATTATCTACAATATATACAGTTCGCTACAATAGGAAGATACATTTTTTTTTATTTTAGAAAAAGGCACTAAAACCGGATATCAAACTAAGATTTTTATTATTATTATTATTAGTATTATCATCGGTATGGATATGCTGATTCTACTGTTACAACCAACCTATTGTATAGCGTATAGGATAGCAAAATATTATACAATCTCATCGTTTAATATTTTAGACAGAGTATGTTTAGTAATGGGTGACCAACTATGCTACAACTTTTTTTATCACTCATGTTCGAATATTGAACTTCACAAAATAGTTCTTCGACATTTATACACCTAAGAAACTCCATTGTGCTACTCATGCTAGTTCTGAAAATCTCATTGCAGAAATAGGTCTATGCTTAATTCGTTTCGGGCTTCGAAGCCGTTAAGTCGTCTTTAGTAACGTGAGTGTTTTGCTGTGTACGTATGTCTGCTTTTTATAGGTGAGTCAGACATGCTCTTGAAATGCCTTTTCAAACTAAATTTAAATTTAAACTGGCATATTTTTACTGTCATTTTAATTAACTGCGAATGCTTTTTTGAGCATCTATTTTCATTTTAATTGTGAACTGTATACGATCGGTCGGTCACCAGTATATTCATGAACTGCAACAGATGTTTAGGATCCAATTAAAATTTTGATTTAAATATAGTACGCTCATTCATCTGTGTATTTATTTAAAATCACATATTATTCATTGAATAAAAATTACGCGAGGAATATTCAAATTATAGTTTATATAAATTGACAAAAAAATTGTACCTACCCGACAATTCCATAAATTGCTTCCTACAGCAAGGGAGTTTATGTAATTGTAAAACTAATTTAAAAACTACTTGTTTTCGAATTATATTTAGCAGGTAGATATTAATAAGTAACCTTTAATTTATTTTAGCTTCAAAGTTTGTGAAAAAATGATGCAAAAGTAGCAAATGTTACTTTGAATTTCTTATAAGATGCGGAATAACTAAATGTTACATTTTCATTTTCCTTATTACCTATATGAGTAGTCACTGTTTTTCATTTAGAAAATTTGAGCTGTATTGATTATAAAGTTTATTTGAAATAATATTGCAAGTCTGCCATTTATGAGAAAAAGTGAAATCAAATGTTACTAATAGTCAGAAGATTAAACTCTTAGTCAGCAGTTTGTTTGTATGTACATACCTATGAATATTGTTGCTTATTAATGATGTATTGTTACCTACTTCGCTGCTGGAATTTATCAACTTTGATAGCTCGTTCATTTTAAATTTTGTAACATACTTCAGAAAGTGATATGCTTATAAGTATTTAAGTCTATAATGTTCTTCTTTATTACGAAAAGCAGTTATGATGCATTCGATTAAAAATTTTGTTGAATAAATTTGAAAATATCACATGGTTAAACCAGAAATAATCCTAGAAATACTTGTCAAAATTATTTTAAAAAAAATCATTTCAATTTTTTTGAATTACTTACAGGTAGGAACGTTGTTAAAAAGGATATATAATTAGGAGAATATTAAACACTAGTTTTAAATAAATAATTACTAAAGTTTATGATGAGGATAACGTGGGTAGAAAAGGTTAGAAATGAAGAGGTATTAGAAAGAATAGGAGAACAGAGGACTCTGTGGAAGCCAATAAAAAATAGGCGAGATAGGTTGGTAGGACACCTCAGGCATGAAGGTCTAGTCAGAGACATATTAGAGGCAGAAACAGGAGTTAGGAGGGGTAGAGGTAGACCTAGGTTAGATTACTGTTCGCAAATAGTCAAGGATGTGGGTTGTTCTAGTTTTACGGAAATGCGAAGTTTAGACAGGAAAGAGTACGTGTTCAACCAGTCTTAGGACTGACGACCTTATGATGATGATGAAAGTTTATGAACACGAAAAAGTAATAAAAGATTTTCTAACTCATGTTCCCTTTTAAAAAAGTCTAAAAAGGGACACCTACTACAAAAGAGTCATCAAGTCCTTTTGAATAAAATCAATAGGTAGGTGTACCTCACAATTTATCAAGGAATTAATAACATAAACACAGTAAAACTCGATTATAACCTACCTAATGAGACTTCAAGAATCGGTACGTTCTCTTACAATTGTTTTCTGAAAAATTATAATTTTATTAGATGTTAATAAAAGCGCAAATGGTAGGTATACATCTTTCTAATTGGTTCTTAAAAATTAAAAACATAACTCAAGATAGTTCTTGTGTAAATCAAAGAATTTTTTAATTTTATTAATTGTATCAAAAAATTATTGAAATAAAAAAACAAACAACTATTTTAATTTTTTTTAAATTTTGATGGTGATTTATAGGAACTGCGGTTTGTGTGTAGTCGAAATTCGACCAATCAAGACTGGCATGCATTTCACGTATTTACGAATAAATTAACCTCAACATTTTATTCTTTAATACATTCTGCAGCTAAAATTAAATAGGTAATAGATAATTTCTTACCAATAGAAAATAAAATTATGTACCTATTACGTTTTTATTAAAAAATGTGCTACAAAAGTTTGTCACGCAAAAACTCACTACACTAATGTCTTTGTTTTATTCAATATTTAACACGTTTATATTTTGCATTTATTTTTTTTGTGATAAACACGTTTTAAAATTTGTATACATTTTTTATTAAATTATTTGGTGAGAGTAAAAAAATATAGCTGTGCTGATAAGGGCTATTTTTACCCGTATTCAATAAGAAAATGTATTGATTGTGAGTAGATACTTTTTACAATAGTTCAGGATATGTGGTTTCTCATACAAGACTCAAAAAATATTTTTTATATGTAGCAGTATTAGCATCTAGCAAGGTGGAGTTAGAAATAGCTTTAAATAAATAGGAAGCAGCATTAACGAAACAGTATGAAAATAAATAAAAGTAAAACAAAAATACTTGTATGCAAGAGAAGAAAAAATTAAGAAATGAGCGAATATAATGATAGGAAACGAAAAATTAGAAGAAGTGGCCGACTTTAGGTGTCTAGGAAGTCAGATAAGTCAGGACGGAAGGAGCAGTAAGGATATAAAGCAGAGGATAGTGCCTTCAAGAAAATGCTCGTGAACGATTAATTTAGAAATTCGAAAAAGGTTGTTAAAGGTGTATATTTGGAGCACGCCGCTGTACGGGTGCGAAATATGAGCAGTGGGCGCGGCGGTAAAGAAAAGGTTAGAGGCGTTCGAAATGTGGTGTTACAGGCTAATGGTAAGGATACCGTGGATAGAGAAGGTTAGAAATGAAGAGGTATTAGAAAGAATAGGAGAACAGAGGACTCTATGGAAGTCAATAAGAAATAGGCGAGATAGGTTAGTAGAACACCTTCTCAGGCATGAACGTCTAATCAGAGACATATTAGAGGCAGAAACGAAAGTTAGGGGTAGAGGTAGACCTAGATTAGATTACTGTTCGTAAATGGTTAAGGATTGGGATATGCGAAGATTAGCTCAGAATAGGAATGAGTGGAGGTATGTGTCCAATCAGTCTTAGGACTGACGAGCTTATGATGATGATGTAACAAATGTAGATCCGAAATTTTTTTTGAATTACAGATATTTTTAAAACATGAAATATGCCCAAGAAATTCAGAAAGTCACAATTCCTTCAAAAATATTTTCAGATCAATACTTCTAAATTGTTTAATATTTTACGTAGATACAGTACATAAAGAAACGCAGTAATGCGAGCTCTTGAAAAGAAAACAGCATATTTTGAATGATTATAAAGAGTAGTCAGCAAAAAGCGGTCCTCATCAGCCCGCTTCCTTCGAAATGTTTTTGGTCAGGTACCTCCCTTGCTAATAATTTCGAAATTTTACCTGCAGATAACATCAGCTTGTAGCGAAACCCCTGTAATGTAAACCATAATTTATGACCCATCTTCCGATAAAGCAACCTGCTTTATCTCCTAATTATCCACGTAGGGCTATCACCTGTTTACCCTCGAAGTTAAGTAAACTGGCGCCATAAAAGGATAATAAACTTTAGAAAGCACGCGCATAAACAGGAACTTTCGATTTTGGCATTTCCGCTACAGTCAAAGGAGATAAGAAATGGCATTGTTAAAAGCGAGTTTACAGGTATATTTAAGAGTAAATATTAATTTTAGTATTTGTGAAGAAAAACGGAATATAGCAAAAATAAATAAAAAAAAAAACGAAAATGTGGATATTTTAATGGCGACGAAATAAAGGCCTGATGGTAGACTATTTTTATAATGCTATTTTAACTTCTCTCAAATATGTTATATATATCACAGTCAATGCACCGTATTAGTAGCGGCTTGCGAATGTGTTATACGTGATGATACAAATACCTTCAATGTAATATTATCGAAGTTTAATACTTTTATTGCAAGAGGAATACGTAGAAAAAACGAAGCGGCGTATCCCAAAGTCACTACAAATGACTAACGTTAATAATTCCTTTACGATTTTTTACTTGGAATAATTAAAGAAATGCCTATAAAACATTTTTTAGATTAAAGGTTATAACATTGGACTCTAAGGATAATGTTTGCATACATGCAAGTAATGACGTATATGAGGGGCTCCTATATAGTTAAATTATGTACAATTTTGGCAGTTAGAACTTTTTATACGACAAAGCATAGTGCATAGAACGTTTTTATGTAAAAATCGGGATTTTGGAAAAAATACGACTTAAGTCTTTTCAAATTTTTACTCTACAATTAATCCCTTTTCGAAATGCATGGTGTGCGCTAGAGATGCACCTGATAGTAATTTTTCTGGGTACTAAATAACCAGCAACCGGTCATATTCATCCCACGTTTCGTTTGTTTTCCCTTTTTACTTAATATCAACACCTTTTATTTTATCGGATAAAGAGGTAGAATTTTGTAAAATGTTGAAATAGGTATGTATGTCACTAATTTTATATGAAAAAGCATTAAAGGCAAGTTTCAGGTAAATCTGCCTAAAAATAAAACACCATACTTAACCATACTTCGACAACATTACGTTTAGCTGTTACTTGCGTTTTGTTATTTCATGTCAGTTACGTTTTGTAACAAATGAACGGTTAGACTGATCTTTGGACTGATAAATTATTCGTTTTGCTGTCAGTTGCTTTTTGTCATTCCATGTAGTTGCGTTTTCTTATACCTACCGCTGGATCTAAGCTACCTCCCCACCAATTTCCAGCCAAATCGGTTCAGCCGTTCTTGAGTTATAAATAGTGTACCTAAATTTCTAAAACGACTTTCTTTTATATATAGATAGATTTTTTACCGATAAAAGCATGATATAAAAACCTGACAACATTCAATTGTTTAAACAAATTGATATAACAAACAATTTTTGCAATAAATTAAACTGTGTACAGTTCAAAGGACTGTTTCCGCATAGAAAATTGGTTTGGATAAATATTTGTATTTCAGGTAAAATGTCGGAAAATCTGTGCGAATACACGACCGAATCTGAAAATAGAATGATCGAGGGACAAAGTGGAAAAGCAAGTTCACCGTTCTGCACGATCACATACGTTGCACCCCCAAAAGAAGATGACGACGACGACGACGACGAACTCGACAGAGGAGGCTGGGAAAGTAGATGGGATTTCCTTTTTTCTTGCATAAGTTTATCTGTGGGACTCGGAAACGTGTGGAGATTTCCGTATTTATGCTACAAAAACGGAGGAGGTATTTGATTTTCGGCTAATAGGTCGCTGTAATATTAACCGCACCGTGTATTAAACTATAGAACTCGTTCTATCCTTGAAATCCAATAAAGGCAGTTTGAAAGTATGTCACTCTATCTATGTTTCAATCAATCTTTGTTGATTTGTTTGTGGAATTTTCATATGCATATTTTTTTCTGTCTTTAGAAAAAACACATATGAAAAATATTAAACAACTGAAGTATTTAAGGTACTATAAATAAGGTTCAAGGGTTAGCCTAATATGAAAATACAACTGATTGCATAATTGGTGGTGTAGAAAAATAAATTCACGCTTTCTATTACATATATCGTATTTATGTGCACAATTAAAAAATATTCGTACCTGTACAGGGTGTTTCTAAAATAAGTAGAAAGCTTTGGAGGGTATTAACCAGATGCAATAGGGAATCGCAGGGTGAGTAGAGCAGCGTGGTTAAGGTATAAAAAATCTGTAAAAAAACAAGATGGAATTGCAATTTGAAGCCGGTCCTCGATGTGAGTTGATAACGTGTAGAGAAATTACGACAACTAAGCAACTGCATCGATGAAAAATGTAAATAGTGGCGGTTGTGGAACAAAGTAAATATCAACAGCCTACTACTACGGTATTACACATAATAATCTTTAGACGCACATTGAGATAACAATTAATCAATATCTACTTTTTTCATCGCTGGTACTATGCAGTATCATTCTCCGGATAGGTAACAGTAATTTTATTACATTTCTAAATCACCATTAAGGTATTGCGAAGGTGAATTATCTTTTTTAAGGGTAATTGGCCAAAACCCCTATCCTCCATTAGTAGAATTAAGTAAATATACACACACAAAAATTATTTTTGAGTAGCACAAGAACGCCCGGCATTTGGCATACTTCATTTGCAGCGATCATATACGGTAGTGCAAATCAATAGCGTTCTGCACTGGAATTTGTTACACACGCTGTTTCATACAATCCCATTCAAAGAGATCAGAAGAATTTGGGTCAAGACTACGCGTCCGCTAGGGTGCACGATCCTTACGTTCAATCCAGCGTCTAGGAAAATGTTCGTCTAGAAACTCACGCATTGGTCAATGCAATAATATCATTCTGCACTGACCTACGGCACTAACACATTGACCTACTTTTAATGACTTCGACTGTCTACATACGTATTTTTTGCGGCTGTAAACGTAAACATCGTCAATCTAATCTAACAAATAAGAAACAATACATGAGTACAAAAATATAAAAGAAATGCAACACGGATGCTGCTAAGTAGCAGCTGATTGAAACTGCTCTGCGTGATCCTATTAGGCTGGATTAAGTTTTGTTCTTTTCGAAAGCGCTAGGTTTTCGGACTACCAAACATTTACTTAATGTTTTTGTTTTATAGTGGTCCATCATTTCCTGAAGGTGTGCTACTTATTTCAGAAACACCTCTACTTGAAATTACTTTTAACGAGTTGTCAACACTTGCTGCAAACTAAGTACCTACCAACAAAAGTTATGTTTTTGCATCACTCTGTAAAGTGCTATGATCTACCAAAAAGTTATAAAATAATTTGAATATGATTAGTTAAAACATCATTTTACTTAAATTAAGTACAATTAAAGATCACAGTTGTTTAAAGTCAATTTAAACCAGAAAAATTCACATCATCAGATCTACATTTTATCCCTTAGGCTTTTGATGTAATAAAAGTGATGTAGCAGAATAATTATCGAAATTGTTTATCAATAAAACGGAGTATGTGAGCACAACAATACACATTAGCAGGCAATAAACGGTCGGAAAGCGTACAAATGTTTCGAATGAACTCGTAACTGTTTGTGGCAAGGCATAACGAGCAATTTAAATTGATTTGAATTCAAATTAATGTTACTTATCGATCGATCTCGCTTAATGCGAAGAGCTAGATGAAACCAATTTAAATTAACTACCAATAGTGAATTCTGTCCGAGACAAAAAAAAAACTAAAAACTATGAAGTTAATATTTTTTTACGAAAATAAAAAACAATTGCAATTAAAAAAAAGGTTAAAGGCAGAAATTTAACTGGGATTTTATGTTTGGGAGTTATTTTTCATTTAGACATACATTTGACATGTATTTAATTGTAAGAAACGAATGAGGTTTGTGGTGACCCATTAGTTGTATTGAAATTTGAAAAGTCCGAGGTTGAAAATTTCGTTTGGATTTGAAAACTTCTAATAGAGCGAAAAACTTCACTAAAACCGCAAATAAATTAAATTACATTTAATATGAATATATATGTAATAATTAATTAACTTTTTAGGTGCCTTTTTAGTAACTTATGGCATAGCCATGGTACTGTGTGGGATACCACTATTTTTTCAAGAAGTCGCAGTAGGTCAATATTTAGGATCTGGAGGATTAACTTTTGTTGGACAACTATGCCCTCTATTAAAAGGGGTTGGATACGCTACAATGACTCTGGTATTCCTCTTGGATGTCTATTATTGTATTATTATTTCTTGGACATTGTATTACATAATGAGCACATTTGTTTATATGCCAAATCTGCCTTGGAGATCGTGTGGTAAGTTTCACTTTAATAAGTATCTATTACAAAATTATAAAAAATCTGTTTACCATACTCTTATTTTTATTAACCTGCAAATCGAATATTCAAGCACAATAGTTACTAGCTCAATCTCATTTGCCTTATCCAATTAGGGCTGATTGGTAGAAAAATTTCACAAAAGTTTCCAAGCAGTAAGAAATTGCCATCTACTTTTACATAACCGTCCCGTATCCTTACAATTTTTTCAACTTAAATAATGTAATTGAATAATGATTTTGTTTTTAAACAAAAAATGTGCTACTGGGAAACGTAGGCATTTTTGTACTGTTAAAAAGATCTAATCGTAAACAATCAAAAAATTCTAAGTATTATGAGTGAATTACAATATTTTGGGAATGTTTCGGATAGAAGTTTTATGTTTTCAAGGGGCAAACATCTGGCGACCTTCAGTTTGACCTTCAAAATCATTTGAAAATCAAGATGTTTTTAATGGAAATTCATATTTGAAATAGGAAATACATTACCTTTGAAGTTTGTATGCTCTACATTTCCCATAAATATGTTCCTACTAAAAAATTATAAACAAATCGGCTCCAAAGGTATTTCTGATTTTAAAATTGTCCATTCTTTTAATTGCAGATAGGATCTAAAGTATGTATTCCCATTAAAAGAAATTAATTGATCATAAGGGTGCACTCAAAGTCACCAGCTGATTATCCCTTTGAAAACATACAACATTTGTGTAAAAATTCGTTCAAACCAATGAGATTCAGTCATGATGCATTTTAAGTTTTTAATTATTCATATTCTCATAAATATTCCGCTCCCGAAATAAAAATGTTCAGTCTCCTAGAGTCTCTGAACGAGAGACTCGAGTCGCTCATAGAGAGATCCTCATTTCGTATCCAGTCTCTGAACGAGAGACTCGAATCTCGAAACGAGAGGCTCGAATGTCTCAATAAGTGGTGTCTCGATAGGCATGGTTAAAAATTTTCTAAGTTCAACATCATTCAGAGATCCCAGTCTTTCTACGAGAGACTTAAGTCTCTCAATTTTTCAGTTTTATTCATTCAGTCTCTCTGTGAGAGACTCCAATCTCTAAATTCACAATTTTATCGTTCGAGTCTCTTATATAGAGACTGTGAGAGATCCATAAAAACACCTAGGCAATAACTGAAAGACTGTGAAAGATTGTGAGAGACGTTTTCAGAGATGCTGAAAGACCCTGAAAGACTCTGAGAGACTGGAGAGACTGAAAATTTTTGTCCAGGGCTCTCTCCATTGTTGCAGTCAAAAATATGCATTCTTATTTAAAAAAAAGGATTGAACCGCAAATTACGTTGAAGGTATCGATACCTTGACACATCCAACATCACCACCGCTTTTGAAAGCATACAATTTTTGCCTAAAACCTTTTCTAAAATAATGAGATCCAATCAAGTTATTTCATTGTCTCAGGATAAACGATTCACCCTATAGTATATGTATTTTAACAAGTTTATTGCTGTATTTGCGAAGTTGTTTGTAGAATATTTTGTGGAAAACCTTTTCTCCCGTGAAATCAAATGCCACAACAAAAGCAAAACGAGGTGCAGGTCTGAATTTCAGCAGATGCCGGGAAACAACTTACAGTATCCCTAAATCTATTCTCTTATATGACCCTAGAGAACAATAATAGCAACTCCACTGTTTGCGAATAAAGTTATTTACTTGCTGAGGAAATTCTCTCTTTGTAGATAATTCGTGGAATACCGAACGATGTTCTAATATTGATAATCTGAAGAATTATAACGGTACCATCATGTTCAATAATTTAAAAAATGTTTCTATAACGATGGCAAATGCATCTGAAATGATGTCGACTGCAGTTGAAGAATTTTTTGAGTAAGTAACTTTCAAATTTCAACTCTTACGCATATCTTATCATAAATAATAAACTGTAGATACAAAATAAAATCAAATTATTCAAAATACTTACAGGCGCAATGTATTGAGCATAACAAACGGTATATCAGAATTTGGTGGGATCCAATGGAAATTGTTAATTTGTTTAGGATTAGGATGGCTTTTGATATACTGGGTGATAAGGAACGGTTTGCATCAAAGTGGAAAAGTAAATAACTCTCGTTTTAAATTGCTGCAATTAAATTTCATTATTTGAATCAGAAAAACTGAAATCAGATTTCATTATTGTTACACACAGTATTTGTTATTTAATTACCATCATTATTTTGGCATCAATAAATTAATTTAATTAGCATTTACCGAATATATATTTTTATTTAAATTTCAGATTATTTGGTTTACGGCACTCTTCCCTTACGTTGTACTATTCGTACTTTTGTTTAGAGCATTGACCCTCGAAGGGGCAATTGATGGGCTGTGGTACTTCGTCGTACCCCGATGGGAAGAATTGTTAACTCCACAGCCCTGGATGGAAGGAGCAACACAAATATTTTTTGCCTACAGCATCGGCTGTGGAGCTTTACCTGTGTTGGGCTCTTATAATAAATTTCATCATAACTGTTATAGGTAACATTGATAGAAGTATTCTTTTTGTACAATTTTAAAAATCAGTGCCGCACATTACAGAAAATGAGAAAATTCGAATTTTTTGAAGTGAAACTTCTTTACGCACGATAGGGTAAGTTCGTTTCGTGCGAGTTGCTATGTAACGAAATCATGCAACGCATTTCCCCCGCTGTCTGTCCCTATGTATGCTTAGATCTTCAAAACTACGCAACGGATTTTAATGCGGTTTATTTTAATAGGTAGAGTAATTTAAGAGGAAGGTTTATATGTATAATACATGCATAATATAGCAGAGAAACACTGATAATTTTAGAGGTTTGTAATGTAATGTCGTAAATAAACACATTTTTTTTCGCTTACATTGCAAACGCTGGCTGAACCCTACGAGATAGATCAAAATTATATACTACAGTATTGTACACCTTAAAAAGGTCTACAAAAAAGTCCGCGATGGTATATGTCTATCTCTTAGGGATACCCACAATAACCCTTTTTTATACTTTACTTTTTACGAGAAATAATGGTTTATTTACGAAGCGATTTTAAGCAATACAGCATTAATCCTTATCCAATTAAGTACTTTTAAATACATTGTGAATTTAATATAGATCAATATTTCCCTTTACAGCATGTAATTTAAATAAATATTTTCGAAGATATTACAGACTTAAAATGAAGGGACATAGCGGTTACGGCGGTACCGGCCAGTTTGTATTGTTTAATTACAAAAAAGCTGTGATTGTTGTATATAAAGACATTCTATAGTATATTTACTATCAGCATTGCACCCGTGCGAAGCATAGTGTGCAAATAATACCATTAAACTAATTCCTTAACCCCTATCCTGATATGTTTGTGTGTTTGAAGAAGTTTCACACCAGTAGCGTGTAGTATAATTACACGTTGTATTTTTTTTTAACTATTCATATAACGTCTAGTGCAGTACATGTCGGTATATTATATACCCAAAAGCATGTTCAAATTGTATATAAAATTGTAATAAAACGGTTAGCAATTTTTTTATTTTAATTTTCGATTTTGAGTTAGTTCATTCTACCGTTGTAAATAACAGAAAACTACTTAGTTTAAAAACATTTTAGTGCCTTTAATTGGTTAAATTTTTGTATTCATCTGGTCCATTTAAATGAAAATTTAGTTTGATATTATGCTCTTACTGTAACTGAAGGCTAATAATTTTTTAGAGATGCTGTAATTACTTGTATTGTTAACACATTCACTTCCATAATTGCTGGTTGTGTTACATTTGCCATTTTGGGTTATTTAGCTTTCGAAAAGGACACTACTGTAGCTGAGGTTGTGACAAGTGGACCAGGGTTGGTCTTCTTGACCTATCCAGAAGTTGTACTAAAACTTCCGTGGGCTGCATTTTGGACATTAATGTTCTTTTTTATGCTTTTGGTATGTAAATTTTTAAAATATTTAATTTCTTTTTTATTGTTTATTATTATATGAAAATCAGAGAAGCGCAAATGGAAACCAAATCAAATATTCATAGTTTAAATTAGAAATTTTCTATTGGAATTTTTATTGTTAATTCCACATTAATTAATCACTATCTGTACATATTATTATTATTGCCAGTGCCGTTATTACAAATTCAAATAGTTAAAAACACATCCAATAATATGCATTAAAAATGACAAAGAATTAATTTCTGTTTTATCAGTTAGTTATCAAAAGTACGTTCAAAAATTAAAATTTGATTTAAAAAATTCCCTAACGTCTATTCAATGGTAATTAATAAAAATAATCAGGTTCTCTGTTAGTAAAGGGTAAAAAATACCGAAAAGAATAGTTTTATTAAACCAAACTTAACAATCGCTAAGCTTTAAATTTAGGTCAAACTTGATGTCCAGTTGAACATGAAAAATCGATAATTCATTATTTAGGAAACAGGTCCAGTAGAATATTCTATCGAAAATTAGTAATTAACAGCTTTTGTTAGACATAAGTAATTTATAACAAAATTTTTTCCATTGAATGACTAAATAATATATAGGGTTGTTCGGAAAGTCATTTCGTTTTTTTTTTGTGGAAATGAAA